GAGGTGGCCCTTGGCTCCAGCCCACCCCTTTTCTCTTCTTACCCATGACTCTGGCGCACACTGTAGGGGGTCTTATGTTCATTTAAGGGACACTCCACCACACGCTTATGCTCTAACCCTTCTCCCTGCAAAGAGCCGCCCTTGGCCATCCTTAGCCCTTGGACGTGAGATTTTGGTGTTGCAGTTGACCCTCCGAAGGATGGACTGTGAGAAAAGGCCATGCAGGTCCCCAAGAAGGCAAAATTTTCTAGGATTTCTGGTCTCCAGTGATCTAGAAGAAAGAGTACATCTCTGTTGGCCCCGTGGACTCCTCATGGTTTGGGGAAGGGCAGAGCAGGAGGAGAAACAGAGTATAGGCTTTAAAATGCAGGGGCTGGGCAGGAAGCTTCTCCTCCCTGGATCGAAGGGTGGCACTGCTGGGTTCCCCAGGAAACATGGAAGGGCCAGGACCCTCGTGAAGATCTTCAGAGAATAACTAGACCCAGGAACATTACACTTATAGTATTCTAACATTTGTTATCTCATTGATTCTCCCAAAAATCCATGTAAGAAAAGGCCCTCACTTTAGAGATTGGTACACACACACACACACACACACACACACTCTACTCTTAAGTATATACACAAAAGAAATAAAAGCATGTGTCCACACACACACACACACACACACACACACACGAAATTACATAGTTATTGGCAGAGCCAGAACTAAGCTCTCTAGCTCCCAGCTACATCTGAGGAGAAACCAGGCCTTATGTTCTCTAGCCCATCAGCTGGATTTCTGAGGCGGAGCTTCCTGGAAGAAATCTTGGGGTTGCTTGCTGCAGTTCTGTAACCAAAGGAAGGGAGAATACATTTAAAGGCCATGAGGAAAAGAATGGAGAGTTGGGGAACGGGGAAGTCTGGAAAGGGGAGAAGATTTTTTTAAAAGGGATTGAATAGAGTATGGTGTGAATCTAGTGATTATTCCAGGAATGAATATGGTAGATGGAGAGTGGAAAAAAAAAAAAAAAAGATAGGATACATTAAAAAGAAAATGGGTACATCCTCCCCACATTTCAGATCTTTGCAGTATTTATTCAGGTATAATTTAATATTTTAATATTTTATCGACATGTTGTGAACATTGTTTTCATGTTATAGTTTTTTCATAATTTTTTATTTGTAGCGATTATAGTGCATATGCCATTTATACAACTAAATTTATTTAGTTGCAACTTTTCCATACTATAAATAATACTATGCTAGACACTGGATGCATACAAGCTTTTCCTTCCCTATTTCCTTAGGAAAAAACTAGTGGTGGGAACTCAGTTGCCTGTCCAGGAAGATGTTTTTGTTGCTGCTGCCTTGCCAGGGGCAGCAGAGGATGTTCTAAATGGATTCTGCCTGAAGTCAAGACACTGAATTGGGTGATGTCAGGAAGCTCCAGGACAATTTGGTTCTGACCTTTCCTCCTTGTTTCCCTATAGCCTCTGGATTCACAAACATGAATAACTTGAGTAGTGTAACCACAGAGTCATCGATCTTAAGAATATCTTCAGTTGTTCCTGTAAATGTATCCAACCAGGAGACCAGAATACTAAGTACTCTTGAAAGTACTACCCTCAACCCCATCTCTGAGAACAGCAATGGGACCATAGCAGCCATCTCAGGTAAAGAGTGTTTGTCTCAGGCCCCAGAGGGATGCTACTGGTGCTTGGGTAAAGCATTAGATGTTTGCAGACCACGCCCTGCTCCCACTTTCTCGCCCAGATGAAAACATACAATCTCTCTGTAGTAATGACTTTGGCATCATATTTAGGGTACTCTGAGGTAAGTTCTAGATAAGTCTTCCAACAGTGTCAGCTTTCTCAAGCCAGTGCCTTGGCAGCTGATCCTGATTAGTAATGCTCCTTGTACCCTTGCTCTCATGCTCAATTGAGCTTAGCCATAAAAGGATTAAATGAGAATTCCCTAGAGCTCTCCGATCTCTTCCAAGTGAAGGAAAGTGTGTACAGGTTCAAATTGGGGGTCTTTGACTTCTCTAGGGCGGACCAACATCCAGTTTCAGAATCCCGAGGATGCTTCTAATACATTCTAGATTATAGCTATGGTTCCAATAGCTGGCTTGAAATGAGTTTGGTAGGGATTAGGACAGGAAGTAACTCTTAACTCCCCAAATTCCCTTTTCTGGGTGGAAGTCCATGTCCATGTCATTATCTATAAGGTCTTCTTGATTTAAGACAGTTTACTGAGGGGTGTGTGTGTGTGTGTGTGTGTGTGTGTGTTTATGCAAATGTGCACACATGCACACTTGTATTTTTGGTCTTTTTCAGAGTCTACGGTCAACTTCACATCTACCTCTGGGATCACCCCAGTTCCTGAAGCCATGACCTCTTCTGTCCAGACACAGACCTCTGTAGTCATCACAGTGTCTTCCACCACAATCAACTTTTCAACTTCAGAGATGACCTTGACACCCAACATGTCACCTGGAAATGTTTCACATCCCCCACACAATAGCACCAGCCCTGTGACATCTCTCACTATACCCTATACATCATCTTCATCTACCCCGAGTACCATCAAGGTGGGTAAATTGGGCCAAAATGGCAGGTTGGCCTCTCATTTCTTATGTATACAGGCTCTCTCTTCCCTTCATCCTCTCCTCATCCCAACTAATGAGATTTGGGTCATTAAGTATTAGCAGGGAAAATACGCAGCTTAAATATTGCTGGAAGGGATAGAAAGGGGAAGAGAGGGGTGGAGTCAGGTGGCAGGGCTGATCTGGGTCGTGGGTATTGCATTTCTAAGGAATAGAGAATAACGAGGATTCTCTGAGATCCATCCATTTCTCTGCATCTTTTTCTAGTACTTCTCAGTCTGGGCTTTGACCAGGCACCATTCCCCTTTGGCCATATTTGGAACCGTCCTCCTTTTAATGGTGCCGCTTTCCCCAAAATGTTTAGGACTAAAACCATTTCCTCTATGTGAGAGCGTTTGGTAGCTGTGTCAGGCATAGAGAGGCTGTGAGGAACTGGACAGACGGGGTATACTGAGCTCAGCCTTAGAGCAGGTGTCTGTCAAGAGCTTCCAGCAGAAAGAGTCGAAAATAAGCGGGTGTGGAACCTGGCAGGCAGGCATGGGGCGGGGCACCGCCTGGTTTCTGTTTTTAAAGGAGCCAAAATAAGAATCTGGAAAGTCCTAGGGATCAGGGGGAAAATGAATATCACTAGGATCTTCCCAGTCACCCCATTACCTGTTTGCCTGGATGGCTTTGCTGCAAGTGAATAATTAATTCATGGGAGGGAAAATGGCCCAAATGGGAAAAGATCCTCCCCTCTTCCATCGTTGCACCATTCAAGCCCATGTTTACCAAGACTGCAAATAGCTACCTGCCTGCAAGCTCAGGCTCGTAACAAAGTTAATTATCTGCTGGGGCTAGGGGGTGAGATGGAGGAAGGAAGTGTGACTGTTATAAAATCTCTAGTCCCCTAAGAAATTTTAAAATTTCTTTTTCTTTAAAATCTTTTTAGAGAGTATTTCACAGAAATCTAACTGGAAAACGGGTGGGGGAAGAAGTGAGGGGCAAAATACTGGCTTATTTACTTTGTTTTTGCTTTAATACAGGGAGAAATCAAATGTTCCAGGGTCAAAGAAGTGAAATTGACCCTAAGTATTTGCCTGGAGCTAAATGAGACCTCCAGCTGTGTAAGTCACGCTACCTGAACCCCTGAACCCCGCAACTCCACTGCTTCCCTTTCCCTCTCTCCCACAATCCTTCTGAACCTCCTTGTCATTTTGGACTGAATGGACTTTGGTGCGGTGGGGAAGTTTAGCACCTTGAGGCTGCTTGCAATTCTCAGCTTTGGGCTTAGGAAGTAAGAGGCCCCATCTGGTGGATGAAGAAGGAAAAGATAACTTTGTTTAAATGTAGTTATTTTTTCCATCTTTTTATAACACTTAATATATATAGTTAGATTCAAGTTGAGTTTGCTTTTACGTTAAGAAAGTCCTTCCTGAAACAGAAACTAGTCACTTAAAATATTCATTTATTATTCTTATTTACAGATCTCTTTAATCCATATAAAATTGTTTTTGCTATAATGCTGCATTTTTCATGTAACCATTTTTCTTAACATTATTGACCGATCCTTCTTTAGATTGGAATGCTTCTTTTAGCCTGCATTAAGTTTTCATATGTCCCCAGGCCTATTCTTTAGAAATATTTCATTTGTTCAGTTTGCCTTTTTTTTGGCCAGTTTTAAATTTTAAAAATTATTATACTTTTACATTATAGTATTTTTAATATTTAGCCAGGATGGTCTTTGCTTATTACACTATAAAAATATGAAGTATTTTTTTATTCTTTTAGAAAGACTTTGAGAACATCTTGTCCAGATCCCAAAAGGAAAACATTTGAAATTTTAATTGGAACTACTTTAAAATCTCTCCATTTTTTCTGATCTTCTCTTGTTCAGTATCTTGTTTTTTTGGTTTTAAATTTTTTTCCTATGGGTTTTATAGATTTATTAAAGTTATTTATAATATAGATTTCCCATTATATATTTCAACTGATTGTTGCTTGTATATTAGTAAGTTAATTGAGTTTTGAATATTTGTCTTGGGTTTAGCTGTTTCTTTAACTTGCTTATTAACTCCAGGAGCTTTTTAGTTGGTTCTTTTCTGTTTTTAAGGTGGACTATCATGTTATCTACCACAATATGTTGTTTTTCTCCGCCTTTTTAGCAGTATGACTCCTGTTTCAGTTTCGTGTCTTATTGCATTGGTAAAACTGTACAGCGTGGTGTTGATTTTTAATAATGATAGCAGAGCTCCTTGCCTTGTTTCAGTAAATTCAGTTTCCTGACTATAACAAGGCTCTGGGTAAAGGATGGGATGATGAGAAGAGCAGTATTTACTTATAGGGGAAAAAAACCCCATTTTCTTACAAGTTGAAAATATATTTAAGGGAATGCAATATATATCATGTGTGCATACATAGTTCGGAAAGAGCCTGGATAAATACTAGATTATAGAGGCATTAAGTTACTTATTTTGTTTATTCTGACCACTGTTATCTTACCTGCAATTATCAATTGGGTCGCTCTGACTCATAGACCTTTTAAAATTATACTTAAGAGAATTATTTAATTTAAGACTTTAAAAAAACAACAGAAATTGTGAAGACATAAACTCACACAATGGAATAACTAAGTGCAATCAGCGAAATAGTTAACTTAAACATGAATATACAGTATACAAGTGATATTCTGTGTTTCTGATGCTGATTTTCAACTCTACTCAATAAGGAAATTGCCAAACCCTTTGCTAATTATAGCTAAGGAAAATGACCATCTTTTTTTTTTTTTCCTGTGTCTGTTGTTTTGTTTGAACGCTTATGTTCCTGTGTATCACGTGGGTCTGTGCCAGAATGCTCATTCTTTGTACCAGTGATTTAGAGCTAATTGCAGAGCATTCTAGGTGTCTGTCAATTGCTCTTCAAAGTTCACATTTTACTAGGGTCATCATCCCAGACAAGTGCCAGACACTTACTGCTACTCCAGAAATAGCCCCGCTTATGCTGCTGCTGCTGTGGCCTCTTTTACCCTGTGCTCTTCACTGTCTAATCTCTTTTGTGCCACAGCCGAGAAAGTCTGCATTCTTCTCTGAAACTTGGGGAGGATCTGTGAGTAGCCATGTGGAAAGAGAGCAGTTCCCCCAATATCTTAAAGAAGGCTTCTGCACTGCCCGTGATGAGTCTACTTCGTGGTAGCCCCTGTGTTGTGCTATTGTTCTCATGGTCCTTCCACCACAGTTGATCCCCTTTTCTTCCTGAGGACCCCTGTTCCCCAGACCCCAAGCAGCAGTACCTCCTACAGCTCCCCAAGGTCATTTTTCCTTGTTCTAGAATTTTTAGCCACAGCTCCCAATCGCGTCCCAGATTTCTTTTCCTTGAGTCGTATTGCATGATTCTCTGATAATCCATCTGTTCCAAAGTCTGTGAGTGGGGTAGTGTTAATTTTCCTTAGATTGCATTTGTACCTTTGGTTTTAGAAGGCCTTAAGGTACTAGCTCGAACCGTGGGAAACTCAGGCCCTACTCGCAGCCTAGTGAGAAGCATGAGGGTTTGGATTCCCCTAATATCACGTCCTTGAGTACTTATGCAATTTTGGCATGCTCCTGCGTCTGTATTCCCATAACAAAAATACACATGCATTGTTCTCAGCCCTCCAGACACTCATTCTGCACCAGTACCTGCTGAGTATCCAACATATTCGCTCTCGCCATGTGGATTCTTTAGATCTGTCTCCTGTACCTGCGTTCTGTAGACATTTGTATCCCAACCACTCTTCTTTTACTCCCCGACCTTCACCTCTAGGCAGAAACCAATCCAGGGAACGGAAAGGTGATCCCATGCTCTTCTCAAGCACCTGGTACCACGTCTCAGAACCCTCACGAACAGAACATGTCGCTCCAAGTCCGACCTCCATGTTCTCTGCTGCAATGTCAGATTAATTAAGTTTTTGTGGTTGTGGTTTCCCAGATAGTTTCCAAATTGTAAGAATACTTTATTCTCTTATGCTATACCTATTTGTCCAGAGGATTGCACCAAAAAAAATTTTTAATGGCATAAAACGTACCTCCTTAACTATTTTAAATGTATGGTTTGGCGGGGTTAAGGAAGTTCACATCGTTGGGAAGCCAGTCTTCAGAACTCTTTTCATCTTCCAGAACCGAAACTCTGTGTCCATTAAACAATCCCTCACCCCACCACCCCGCAACCCTGTTAGTGGAAACCATGATTCCACTAACTTTCCATCGCTATGAATTTGATTACTCTAGGTATCCTATATGAGTGGAATCATGCAGTATTTATGTCTTTTGTGACTGGCTTATATCAGTCAGCCTAATGCCGTCAAGTTTCATCCACGTTGTAGCGTGTGTCAGAATTTCCTTACTTACTAAGGCCGAAGAATCTTTTTTTTGCATCTATATACCCCATTTTGTCTATCCACTCATCCGCTGATGGACACTTGGGTTGTTTCCACATCTTGGCGATTGTGAATAATGCTGAACGTGGGTGTACAAATATCTCTTCAACACCCTGATTTCATTTCTTTTGGTTATATACGCAGAAGTGGAGTTGCTGGATCATATGGTAGGTCTATTTTAAAATTTTCGAGGAACTGCCATTCTGTTTTCCATAGCAGCTGCACCATTTTGCAGTCCCATCAACAGTGCAAAATCGTTCCAATTTCTCCACATCCTTGCCAACACTTGTTATTTTCTGTTTTTTTTTTGTTTTCGTTTTTTGTTTTTTTGGATAGTAGCCATGCTAATGGGCATGAAGTGACATCTCATTATGGTTTTGGTTGGCATTTCTTGATGGTTAATGATGTTGAACATCTCTTCATGTGTTTATTGGCCATTTGTATATCTTCTTGGGGAAATCTCTGTTCAAGTCCTTTGCCCACCAATTTGGTTTTTAGAACTACCTTTCTTTGGAGACACATCTGTTTTTATGCAGAGATTTTATTTACGCAGCTAGTTCTCATCATACTTACTCTGTTACACTGACTTCATCTGAGGCAGACTGCATCCAGCCTCCAGACCATATCCCCCAGCCCACGCCTTTCTTGCCCTGTGCCCAAACACTAAAGGTCAGTTTCCATGCAGAAAAAACTTACAGATGGAGGACTGATGAAGAGTGTATCTCCTGGAAACAACCTGAAGCCTAGAGACATACTGCATGATTCCTAATTTCTCGCCTTTGCTCAGCTGCCCTGGCTCAGGTCCCTTAATTACTCCAGACCCTGTATGAACATAGAGGTTTTGCCTGCATTGTCAGATTCACAGCAAAGTGAGAGAGAGAGTGAGAGAGAGAGAGAGAGAGAGAGAGAGAGAAAGAGAGAGAGAGAGAGAGAGAGGGAGATTGAGAGAGAGATTGAGAGATCGAGAGATTGATTCAGCATCTGGAGATAGCTTAAAGGTCATTTAGAAAAATACCTGTCCTTTCCCCACTCCAATACTTAACATGCTTCTTTAACATGTTAAAAGTTTTTGTAAAGTCTGGGGATGCTACTCTAGAAAGGTTGGATGGTTTTATTATTGCGGTTATTATTTTTGCAAAGTAACATGTGCAAGCAGATGTAGTTAGGGGCTCACAAATCTGATTCTCATGAGCAAAATGGCGAGGCTGTGGCTTCCTCCTGCCCACTCTCCCATGATGTCTGCCTACAGCCTCTCTTGGGGGAGGATGTTTATTTCAAGCATCCAGAGAAGCATTGTGCTTTGTTCAGGATCCACCTGCTCTTCTCCAGGCCCAAACACAATTCACTGATGCTGTTGGATTCCAGAGTGGGAGGCTGGCCGCTGTTATTCCCTTGAATTTAGTCCAAGAAACTAAACAAGGGGTGGAGGGACTCTGTGTGAAGGCCAAACCAGTTGGGATGTTGGGTTGAACAACAATTCACTGAGTTCTTTTGTTTACTTGCTATGTTTAGTGCAGTTTGGTTTCCAAATTATGTAATGTACACCCAATCCCCACACCAAGGAGTCTTACAGTCTAGTTACAGAAAAATAACAATAACAGTAAGGGAGAATATGATTAAACATCAAAATATACATTCTAGATGATATGCTATTATTAATAGTAATAGTGATAGCTGCCATTTATCCAGTGCCCATGAGGTTCCAGTCACCTCGTTGGGCACTTGTCTTACAATATGTCCTCACTCACCACAACAACCCAGTCTTCAGCTGAAGAACCTGACACTCAGACAAGTTGCATGACATGCAAAGAATCTAATAAGTAGCAGAGCAAAGGTTGATGCCCAGTCTGTGGAGGGCGGGTAATATCTGCTTCACGGAAGAGGTGGAGTCGAGTGGAGTCTTGAAGGATGGGAAATCCGGGGAAGAGGCAGTGTTCTTTGCTCTCACACCCCAGGCTTCTTCATGGTGGTACCCACAGTCACAGGCCTCGCCTCAGTAGCTTCTCCTGCACACATTCTGCTCATTTCTTCAAGGCCTACATTGAGATGTTTCTGATAACCCCAAATCAGATGCGTGCTCACCCTCCTTTGAATGTACATAGCACCTTAATTGTACCATTCTTCGCTACTTGCCATGTAACTAAATCTGTGACCTCTTAGTCCCTTTGTGCCTCAGTTTCTTCATTTATAAAATGAAAAGAATGATAATACCCATATCATAGGGTTGTGTGAGGCCTAAATGAGTCAATGTGTAAAACACTTTGAATAGTGCCTGAGACAGTAAGTGTCATTTAATTTCATTGCCGTGCATACAGACTGAGAGCTTGAACCATGTGGACGTCATAGCTAATGCACACACACACACACACACACACCCCACCAGACACACACACAGAAGTTTTCACACAATGTCTTATATTCGGGGCTTGATAAATGTCAGAGCAGCTGAATCTGGTTGAGGTGCAGCTTCTTAAGACTCAGCAGATCGAGGGAAATGCCATTTTGTTTGACTTGTTTAGATCGTGCAGGAGCCTTGTCCCTCTACCCCACTCAGGAAAGAGACGTATTTCAGCCAGAGACACCTCAGAAGCCCCGAGTCGTCCAGGCAGGACTCCCTTCCTCCTCCTCAGGCAGCACGGCGTTAGGAGGATGCAGGGAGAGCCTCATACGGCTCTCGGAGGAGAAATGGGCCTAGAGAGGAAGGAGGCTGTGATCGTATCCAATGTGGTGTCCAGACTGCCTACAGCAGATGCTGCTTTAAAGAGCCAGATTTTTCCAGAAGCAGAGCCTTTATCCAAGGACTTAACAAGGGAGACCTGCAGAATCAGTCCTTTTCCTGAGGGGTGAAGCGGCAGTGGCCTGAGAATTCATTTCTGAGACCTCAGCCCTCGGGGGCCTTCTGAGGCCACCGTTGGACTCATCCGTGACTTGGAGGTTATCCAGCCTTGCTCTCCCGGCCTCAGCCAAGCCCAGTGCATTTCCAGCTGATGGAAGAACACTGGGGCCTGAGGCCAATCTTGACCTCGCCTTGTGCAGGAGCAGGGGAGCCTGGGTTTTCCTGCCTTGAGCCACTTCGTTAGGAAAATAGTCAGGCTGCTTTCCAAGCCGAGAGGAGGCCCTCCGGCCTTGCCACGAGAAGCAGACCTGCCCACAAACAGGAAGCTTTCTCCTCCGTGGAGGCTCAGTCCCGATGGCCCTCATGTGCCCCAGCAGTTTCCCCTAACGGGAAAGTTGTCAGAGCTGTTCAGGCATTTCCTCCTCCTCCATCTGCCATCTGGACAGAGGAGAGAGTCTTGGTTTCCGTTCCTTTCCTGCACAGGGGAGGCCGCTCTGATTGCAGACTGCTGGGATAAATCTAGGGAGGTGCGAAGCGGGGCACTGGAAGGGTGCAGCCAGTGCTTCCAATTCATCCCTGTCCTGGGGCTCGCTGTTGAGGAATGATCAGAGTTCATCTTCTAAGTCTGAGGTCCCCAGGCCTGTTGTCCAGTCAGCAAACTGGAGGAAGATCTGTGACCCTGAAAAGCATTGATCCATGCTTTTAATGGGAAAGGGGAATGGAAGACTGGACAAAAACACCATTTCCATTTGAGCCATGATCTTCGTGAGACCCCTTTGAAGGGACCAAGGATCCCATTGAGTCTGTAGTCAGATATTTGGTCTCCACTCCTCGCTTCCCTTGGCTTTCCTCCAACATGTGCGGCTATGGTAACCTTGAAACAGGATTGTCTCCTCGTTACTATTGTACTGTTAATATTTTCTGTTATTAACAATTTGTTTTGAATTTAATTTGAATAGTATATGTGTATAGGGGCAATCCCTAAATAAGACCTTTCCTAAATAAGACAATCCCTAAATAAGAAATTTGTTCCCTGGCATCTTATAGATGCCATCTTACATCTAAGACACTAATAGATATATGCTTTGCTACTGAGAAATTTTTGAGGTTTTTTTTTTTTCCTGTTGTGTTCTTGCACATATATAGTTCATGGTATTTTTTTTTTTCCAGTTGGAATTTTAGGAAAAAACAGTCTTGTGGAGGGGGTAGTAGTGTGACTTTAACCAGAATTATTGTCAAGACTCTGGATGTAGCCCAGGACATACTAGTACTTTAATCTCTTGCTCGTCATTTTTCCCTGTCTTCCCAGGAGGACTTTAAGAAGGCCAATGGAGAGGAACTGACCCAAATCCTGTGTGGGAAGGATCAGGCCGAGGCTGGGGCCGGGGTGTGTTCCTTGCTCCTTGCCCACTCCGAGGTGAGGCCTCAGTGCCTGCTATTGGTCTTGGCCAATAAAACCGGTAAGAGGCACATCGGTCTTGGGGGTTAGGAAGGGAGTGGGGCTGAGGTTAGAGGATGCTGGGTAGAAATCAGGCATCTTAGCTCAGAGTACGGGTGCTGGTGGGGAAGGGCTGGGCTGATCTTGGTGGAGGCCGTCCTGAGACGAGGATGGCCATCCAGAGCATCTTCTAGAACAGTGCAGGAGGGTGGAGCAGAATGAGCTGGTCTAGCTTCTAGACTCAGCAACCCCTGTTTCTAATTCTAGAACTTCCCAGGAAGCTCCAGCTTCTGAAAGATCATCAGTCTGACCTGAGAAAGGTAAGGTCTCTAAGATAATGGGTCAGGGGTGTTCACTGGAGTAGGGGAGAAAATAATTATCTTCTCTAGACTTGCTCTTCCTACCTCTCCATCCTTCTCCAACCGTCTTCACCCTGATGCTTGAACCAAAATTTTACGATGCAGCGTAATTAAGAGATGTCAGTCTTACACCCTGTTTAAAAAATCCTTAAGGTCGGTGTCTTCTTGTGTTTATTCACCGTTGTACCACACACACGGGTCAAGTGTAAGCTGAGCTCCTTTCCAAAACCCACATTCTGCAAATGACTCGGCTCTCTTTTCCGTGTCTTCTCTTCCAGCTGGGGATCCAAAACTTCACTGAACAAGATGTTGGGAGCCACCAGAGCTATTCCCGCAAGACCCTGATTGCACTGGTCACCTCGGGGATCCTGCTGGCTGTCTTGGGCACCATTGGCTATTTCCTGATGAACCGTCGCAGTTGGAGCCCCACAGGAGAAAGGCTGGTCAGTTCTGGGGTCCAGGCCAAAGGGAATAAGGAAGATAGTGGTCTTCTGGGGAGGTCTATGAATATCACAGTGGAGGAGAAGAAATACCAGAAAAGGTACTTCTGTGCCCTTAAATAGGGTTATTTATACCTGTACATACTTGTGCCTGTGGACAGGTCAAAACAATAAATAGCAGATTGGGGAGGAAGCACTGACTGGGGCCTGCCCACCTCACTGTGGTAACAGATGGTTCATGTCATCTATTATTTTCCCTGGGATACTTCAGCTGGGTACAACCAGAACAGACTGCTAAATCAACCATTTATTTGCAAGCATGTTAAATGGCCTTGGGAACCACTTGGCTTACAAGAAGGGGACATACGGAGGGAAAAATCTATTCTTGAGGAAGGACAAGGCTGGGGTTTGACTCTTGGCCTCTGGCCTGGGAGGGTTATTATACCCCGGGTACTGCCTGGTTTCTGGCGGGAGCTGGCTGTTGAGCTGCAGTGGCATGGTGTGGTGCCTCTCCTCTGTCCTTTCTCCTCTAGGAGCTGGAACCCTGACTGCTCTTCAGGAAGAAAGGACTCTGCACATGCAGCTGCAACCCCCTGTCTCCCTCCTACTCCTGTTCTCCCCCACCGCCAGAGTCTCACTCCCCTGCTTACCAGATAATGCTCCTTTATTTATACACTGTCTAGGGCGAAGACCCTTATTACACGGAGAACGGTGGAAGCCAGGGCTATAGCTCAGGCCCTGGGGCCTCCCCTGAAGCTCAGGGAAAGGCCAGTGTGAACCGAGGGGCTCAGGAGAACGGGACCGGCCAGGCCACATCCAGAAATGGCCATTCAGCGAGACAACACGTGGTGGCTGATACCGAACTGTGACTCGGCTGGGTGGGGCAAGGCTGGGCAACGTCTGGGGAAGGGGCCGTCCCTGCTGGAGGTGCCGTCCCTCACCTTCCCCCTTTCCCACTGCACGCACCCTCCGAGGCCTTTCCTGGGGCCCTGCGCTGCACCACCCAGGGTTCTCTCCACCTTGGGGAGAAGCAGGTAACCCTGCCCTTTGCACATTCAGCTCCCTGGGCCCAGATTCTGGTCTTTGAGTAAAGAGGTGATGGGGATGCCAGGGTTCAGAGAAGCTCCCAGTGGGGGTTGACGATCTTGCAGCATTCACACATGGCCCCTTCCCTCTCCCTGCTCTCTGCCTCATTACGGGAACTCCCAGGGGGAAAGCATCGGCTTTTCTGGGCTACAGTTTCTTCCCAGGAATCTTTGCCTTTTGCCCTTTCTTCCTTTACTTTCTTCCTCTACTTTACGGAAACCAAAGCTGCCCATTGCACTTGCTCCTTTGCAGTGATATAGCCAGAAAAACTTGTCGTTTTACACCATGTCCCTTATGCCCCCTCCAAGTCACTGTGGATTCAGTCACCAGCTTCCCTTTTGCTCTCCTACCTCCCCTGAGCTTTCCATGTGTCCCCGCATCTGTGAACAGAAGCCTGCGCAGGTTTCTGGCTGAGCCTGGAACTGGGCTCTGAGTTTTAGAACAACGTCCTGAGTCTCTCTGTTTGAGACAAGGTGAAAGTGCACGACACACGTGTTCCCACCCATAGGGGCAAATGGGAGAGAGCAGACAGCTCGGTCCTGGTCTTCCTGGAGCAGAGCCTCTGCTTGGGCTCCTTTATGTCCCTGTGGTCAGAGAGAGCAAGACCGTGGGACTGGAGCTCCTTGCGCATCTAAGGAAGCCCCTCGCCCCTGGGCTAGGTCGTGTCCTTATCCTCTGATCTTCATGGCTGCCTCCTCCCTCCCCCTGATTCCTGGGGTAAACTGTGTCCTCAGGCCCCCACCCCAGTAGACTCCCTTCTGTCTCTGCCCCTCCACCCCCCCACCTCCTTCACTGCTCTGCACCCACATGTGGTCATGTCCTCAGGACACCTCCAGAGGACACTCACCATAAGCCGCCTCCTCTATGGATGACCCAGTTTCTTTTTTTTTTTCCAGAGGGGCGAGCAGAGATCCTGGTTTCAATGACGTTTGGAAATAGAACTTTCCAGAGATAGGAATATTGGGTGTTTTTTTTTTTTTTTCCTGGGTAAAAAATGGTGTGTAAATACTGTAATTAAAGTGATAGTGAAACACATTTGTCCCGTGGCTCTGTCCCAGCTGGGCGTGTCTGAATGCAGAGCAGTCCGTCTCCATCTGATCTGGCTGGACTATGCAGTGGCATGGTGGGGAGAGGCCGGCCGTGGAAGAGGTGGGACCATCTCAGGGGACACCAACCAGGATGCTGCCCCTTGGGCTAAGGCTGTGAACTGTTCCTCTGTAGAGAGAGAAACGGGGGGCTCACGGGGAAGCTGGACATCTCTCATCATGGACAGACCAGAATGCAGCACGTGCCTTCAGGGTAGGAGGTGGTGTGTGAGGGTTTAGGAGGCATACCCTTTGGTGAACCCTCTTCTGAGAAGAGGCACATTTTGGTATCGATACAAAAAATCAAAGGGAAGGCACCATGTCCTATGCACCCGCTGTTATCACACCACATCCTGCTCCTAGCTGGGAGCAGAACAGTGAAGGACAATGTGGGCAACTTCTGCTTTAGAGATTTGGCTGCGAACTCTGGGGAGCGGTTGGTCTCTACCCTCAGCATTAAGACAGCAGCTAAACTACAAAACCTGTGAGCACACACCACCCCCTCCAGACCCAGACACCCCTACCCCACCCCAGACCATAGGAAGTGTGGGAAGGCATGTGCCGGACACAACTGAGTAGCTTCAGGAAACGCTCCCAAGTGTGTCAACAGTGGCAGAGGCAGTTGGGGCCAAACAAAGGATCCTTCCAGTTCTTATCTGACCAAAGCCAGACTTTTCCCTTTAGCGCTGTCCCACCCCCACCCCCTCCTTGCTTTCCCCAACTGCTCTAACCAGAGGTTCCTCTCCAGGAGGTGGAGGGACGTGATCTAGAGCCTTCCCTGGAAGGTGATGGCTGATAGTGGGGGATTGGAGAAAGGAGAGAGAGCACCTGCGGAAAAAGAAGTCAGGTTGGCCTCGATCTACCTAGTCACGCATCCTGCAATGAGAGCGACCAGATGGAAGACTGGTCAGTTAGGCGGGGCTGGGGAGAGGGGGAGGTACAGGGTACTGAGTCCCGAGAAACATGGGAAGAGGAAAAAAGGCAACTGAGTCTGAAACGCCCTCAGCCTCAGGCCTAACGACCTGTGATGGTATTTTATCCTGAGTATGTCAGTATGTACAGCCTTTGGGGAGAAGGGGTGCGTACATGTATATTTAAGGGGTGCGGTGGGCTGGAGACTAGTTGTCTGATGGCTGGGCCGCTTGCCCTAAAGGACTCAGCTTTCTAAAACATCAGACTTTCCCCTTTGGCCTGAGCGTCCTGGTGCGGCAATGGCTCCACCTGCTGGTCTTGCTGGGCTCCTACCGCTCAGCTTCCGTTCAATTCGCATCCATGTTGGGTTTCGCTCCCCGGCTGCCCCGCCCTTGAACAGCCTCGCCCAGCGAATTTCAAACTCGAAGTTCATTTAACTACAGAAAGTCGCTGCTGGTGAAGACTTTAAAGATACATCCAACTCAACTCTCTTATGGTATCGTTAAAGATAAACTAAGGCCCAGAGAGGGCGTGTGGCTTGCCCATATCACCTGGAATCAGGCTCCTGAATCCAAAGCTCTTCCCTTCATCACCTCTCCCCACTCATCTGCTGGGGCCTCAGACTGCCTCTGGTTGGATGTCATGAAGCTGGTGAGGGCAGTGTGAAGATACTTTGGAGACTTCACTTCTAGAGCATTTCATCAACATGTGTTCTCTCAGGCCTGGCTGGCTAAGCAGGACCCAGGCCCTAGGACAAAGGAGAGACTGAAGACTCTGGGGGCCTGGGAGGCTCAGCCCCTCTGCTGTGCCTATAGCTAGCCCTGAAGAATTAACTCTGAAGTACATAGTTCATTATGGAAAGCACAGAGACTGAAGACTCTGGGGGGCAGGGAGGCTCAGCCCCTCTGCTGTGCCTATAGCTAGCCCTGAAGAAGTACATAGTTCATTATGGAAAGCATACCTGAAAGTATCTTCTGTCTGATTTTCATCTAGCTGCATAAACAGGAAAATCCTCCAAGTCTCAGTATTCCCCATCCCATCCTATCTAGGTAGATCAATCCCACACTTCTTCTTCACACAAACCCAGTAGTACGTTAGCAATTGTATGCAACAGCATACCGCTTCTGTTCCTGAGGAGTTCAGAGCCGGCATTCAGTCACTCGGAAAGTATCTTCTGTCTGATTTTCATCTAGCTGCATAAACAGGAAAATCCTCCAAGTCTCAGTATTCCCCATCCCATCCTATCTAGGTAGATCAATCCCACACTTCCTCTTCACACAAACCCAGTAGTACGTTAGCAATTGTATGCAACAGCATACCGCTTCTGTTCCTGAGGCGTTCAGAGCCGGCATTCAGTCACTCAGTCACTCAGTCACTCAGCAAGTCTTAGGGAATACCTACTGTGTGCCAGAGACTGTTCTAGAGGCTGGGGACAGAGCAGTGAACAAATCCTCATGGAGCTTACAATTCTAATAGGGGAGAAAGAATAAACAAACACATTTTTCTAAGTAAATATGTTTTCAGGTTATATTAAGAGCTATGAAAGATATAAAATAGATTGAGAGTAATTGTTGATATTTTACACATAGCGATTACTCTCAAGGTGGTAAGAATTGAGAGTATAGTTCACTTGAATGAAGTAAGAAAGAGATTATGCTGCACAGAGGGAAGAGCAAGTTCAAAGCTCTGTGATGCGAAGCCTGGCAAGTGCAAGAAGTACAGCTGACGAAGGTGGACAAGGAGGCCGCCGAGGCTGCCTCTGAGTGAGGGCGGGAAGGATGTAGGTCAGATCACATCGGGCCTTCCGGGCCTCGGTAAGGAGTTTGGATTTTATTAGTAGATGGGGAAACCACCGGAGGATTTTGAGCAGGGGAGTAATATGATCTGCTTTATGTCGTAGAAGGATCTCGCTGGCTGCTGAGTGGAGAATAGAGGTAGAGGCAAGAGAATGGAAGGAAGGCGAGCAGGTCGACTGTTCGTGGCTGGATCGGGGTGATAATAACGGAAGCAGTGAGAAGAAGCAGAATTTAGAATATGGTTTAAAGGTGGAGTTAAAGGGACTTGCTCTATTTATTTATTCCTTCAAATGATGATCATAATAATCATAACGGTAGCTAACATTTATTAAGTACTTACTGTATCAAAATTGAGATGCTATACCAAAATTTAAATACTATATTTTATTTAATATTCTCGAAAACCTTATGAAGTAGGTACCGTTACTCAGAACAAAACCTGAACTTCAGAGAGTAACAAGGGGATGTGCTAGCAGCTCAGCGAACAAGGCAAAGATGAGTAAGATGTGAGTTTACGTGAACCCAGAATACTACAAGTGCATTAATACAAACAAACAAACAACAACAAGAAAAATGCAAGGCAGAAAGCGAGTAATGACACAGGAAAAGACTAACCGAAGTGCTGTGCGTCCGGAGGTGGGCGGGACTCCCAGCTGGGGAGACCCGGGGCTGGGTCACGGAGAAGTATCTGTAGGGCTGTAAAATGGATAAGATTTGGATGACAAAAATGGGTGAGGACATTTGAGGCTGAGAGAAGAGCATGCCTGATACGTAGAGATGGGAAATAAAAGGTCTTCCTAAAAACAATGTGTTTTCCAGTAGAGGAAAGAGGTAAGATGTGTGAAGGAAAGCCTAGTACCAAAAAGGCGTGTGTCCGTTTGTGTAGAGCATTTAATGCCAGACCACAGAGTTTAATTTTATTCAATAGAAAAGAGAGAGCCACTGAAGAGTTTCCATTTATTCACTTATTTATTCATTTATTCAACAAAG